CTACTACTGGTAATATGTAACCAAGTACAACCTGCTTAATGTCATGCTGCCATGTGGGATATGCTTTTTAAGGCAAAGGCTAGAAGATGCCAACTCTGACTAAAAACACCCCCCTGTTTTGGGGTTCTTAGTTGAGCAAAGGTTAGAGATAATGTCTTGATAAAAATATGTATCTTGGAAAGACGTTAAATGCATTTAATTACTATTAGTTTAAAAAATTACAATACAAATATTCTATCCGCAGCATTAAAGGAACATGAAATATGCAAATTGATGAGTCATTTAAGGAACACTTAATTTAAAAAAACCATTAACCAATAATGACAACTAAAAAGAAACAATTAAAAAAAAAATAATTTATTCTTGTGATGATGTTGAGTTGTTATGAAGTTATGGAGAATAATATATAACTTAGCATCTGGCTACTGTCTTGTAGATAGCCTCCTAGGCAAAGACTTATGCCTAGTTTACTATTACTAAAAATCATTGCAAAAAGATTTTGTCTAATGCTAAAGCCCGCTATTCTAAGGTACAAAATCTTGTATTTTATCTCAAAAATTAGGCTCTCATGACTTCTGGACAATCTTTAACAGTATCTTTAATAAGGGCAAACCTGTTATTCCACTACCTAAAGAGCTCAATAATATTATCTTTTGAATCCACTAGCTGCATTCTACCTGATTTAGACAACAAACAGGTTGATTAATTGCTTTGATGAAGCTGGAGTGATACGTTTGTATCACTCCAGCTTCTGTATCTAAAGTGACTTCCTGTTTAAACTCTTCTACAGGTTGCGGTCTGGACAACATATCTGTTATAATCTTACCAAAATGTTTTCCAGAGCTGTAGTCTATAAGGTACTTATCAGAGTCTTGCTTTCCAGTCTGCTGGAAAGCACCATCTGTTATCCCTGCAAATCTGGAATATCTGTTCGAGCAGCCAAACATTGTATAGACAGATTGGAGGCAATGTTTCTTTAATGGAAAGGTCTTCTGAAACATAAAAATCGAAAGACAGAAGGACATAAGATTAAAGAGGATGAATTCATCGACTGTCTTTGGGATCTTTTTGATATCACACATTCCAATGCACTCAATATAATTTCAATTGCTGATAGTGCATTCCTCCTCTCTCAGAGACAAAAAGATCAACCAGGTTTAATTGGTGCCTCTGATAAAGTAGAAACACATAGAAAAAAACGTGCTTAGAAAAGAAAAAAATAAGAATTGAAGCATCGAAAATTATCACAAGAAGAATGTTCAACATGGAAGCATGTTCAAACAAGATTGTTCTAGAATCTGATTCATCAATTTCATCCAGTGCATCAGAAGAAATTGATAATAACAATAAGTTAGACAAGGAGAAATCAATAAAAATTAAAAAATAGTAGAGGTGGCAAATTAATAACACCTGCAAGAGCTAGAATCAACATAATGTCTCCTGGAATTACATCTGCATTAGATAGAACTAAGATCTCATCCAGAAATGCATTTATATGTTCTCTGTAAAGTGGCATCAAGTCTTGGGCATAATGTGAGATGTTAAACATTAATTGGAAATAAATACAAAGGTCTAGAGCAAGTCATTGAAGAATAAAATCCAAAAATCTCAGATCAAAATTTTTTACAAGTGTGCCTTTATCGATTCACTGGAGCGGCAAACTCATGGAAGATTTGACATCTTATGAACAGTACATTGTCTTCTACATTTCTTGATTTCAGTGTTGAGCAATTATTAGGTGTTCCAAAACATCCGCAACAGGTGAAGTACAAGTATCTGCAGTTGATGAATGTTTGGAAGCTTGGGGTTTTGGAGATCAGGTAGCAGCATTGTGTTTTGACACAACAGCATCAAACACTGCTCATCATGCTGGTACATGCTCGTTATTTGAGCAGAAACTAAATAAAGATCTTATGCTTCTGGCCTGTCATCACCATCCAATAGAACTAGGCTGCTTTTGAAAAGACTACAATTAGCACTTCTACTGGATATCAGAAATACTTATTTTTAAGAGAAACAAAGACAAATAGGAATGTATAGATCTTGAAAATTTTCAGACTGCCTCTTCAGATCCAAGAGTGGAATCAGTCATGGACAGGAAAGGCATGCAATCATACTCCAATCTTGACTACTCCAATCTTGACAAAAAAAAATTAAACCAATAGTTCTAAAAAAATCAACTAATATGAACCTGAAAAACCAAAACTTTAATAGAAAATCATTTTAAATTATGTTTTGTAATTACTTTAAGATTGAATAACTCATTGCATTGATTTGACAAGGTTTCAAATGATTTTTTTATATATTAGGAGAGCAATAAATAATTCTTTTTATCATTATTTTTTTTAGTGTCTAAATAAAAATATTTATGATTACTTTTTATTTATTTATGTATTTATATATATATCAATCAAAAACAGAATATATAAACAAATAAAAAAATAATAATATAAATAATTTTAATTAAACACTTAAAAAAATTTTAAGATTTTTTAAAAAATTTTCCTAAAACAAAACATTTCAGTTTTAACCATTTCAAACCAACGCAACAAACCATCAAACTTTTCTAATGTTTTTAAAATATTAGGCAAACTCTTTTAAATAAAAAAAAAATTATAATTAAATAAAAAACTAACTTTATTTAAATTGATATATACTTTGCCTTAAAAAAAAGTTTATTGAAATGCATTAGTTGTAGTCATTGTTTATAAAATTAAGAATACAAATTGTTTAAAAAAAATTACATTCATCATTAGAAAAAAATACTTTTTTAATAAATAAAAGTTTTGATTAACATTCTGATAATTTATTTAATAGCATTTTAAAACCAAATTTAAAAGCGCTTAGCTTAGTGTAAACAAACTTGTTTAGAAGGTTTTAAAAATAGCATCAAAAAAAAAAAAAACTTTGTTATGTTTTCGACTATTAAATTTATGGATTTATCAAAAAGTTAATAAAACAATCATTTTCGTTGTTGTTTGTAAAATTAATTGTACAAAATGTTTTAAAAACATTTACATTAATTGTAAAAATTGTAAAAAATACACTTTTTAACAATATCATATTTTTTGATAATTTAAATAAATGTCTTTTATATAGTATACAATCTTTAAAAACAATTTCTCGCTTTATTACATTATACTTTATTTAGTACATTTTTAAAATGTTTTTAAAAATCTAAAAAGCTGTGGTTAAGTTGTCACACAAAAAAAAACAACTAATGCATGGTCATCAATAGAGTGCTATTGCACGCCTTTCCAGGCATCCATGTCACAACATCTTATTGGCAACCTAGAATTTGCACAAAAATATTTGGAATGTCAACAACCATGAGATGACTACAAGGTGTTCCTTGAGCTTTCAATTATATTTCTTGATGATTTTCTTTCTCAAGGAGTGCAATATCTAATGTCTGAAGCCATGTACCTAGTGCAATGAATATCAAAAGTTATTTATGCCACCAAATGCAGCTGTTTTGTTGCCAGTTTAACATGGTAGTATCAGAAGAACGCAGTATCTGGAATATAGCTATGTTTTTTGTGATTATTCACATATGAGCCTGGACAAATGCATCATTAGCAGTTGAGGCACCTCTGAATGACTTCAGACTCATGAAGCAACTTCTGTGTTATTTACATTCAGCTATTTTGGCTGCTATGAGTAAGATGTTTGGCCTTCACCTATGGTACTTATCAGAGGAGCTTGTTGGATTAGCCCTGTTTGATACTAGAATACAAAATGATTCAAAAAGACTAATGCTTGCTACCATGGAAGAAGTAGCTCTAGATCATCCATTAAAGAGATCAATCATATAATCTGATATGTTTCTTGATGAGCCAGGTCTGCAACAGTTCTGCACAACCAATTCAAAGTTCTGAAACTTCCTGAGCACTTGCTTTCTAAAGATCCTTCTCAGATGGAAGAAGACAAAACCTACAACCAACCACTACATGTAGTAAAAATTATAGATGTCGTTAACTTTATTGCCCATTATAAGCAATCCTTTAAAAAAAAAAAGTACTCATAAGACACCATGCTGTCATAATACATGTAGGAATTGAAAAATAAAAATATAAATGATTTTATATTGAATTGGTCCATCTTTAAAACAGTACCTGCATATAATGTTATTTCCAAAAAATGGATATTATTGTGGATATATTATGTCTGGATATTATTAATGGATATTATTAATGGATATATTATGTCTTAAAGAAAAGTTTGAAATAATTAAACATGCAAACCAAGAATGAATAAAAAATCGGAACTGATTTCTAAATGCAGGCATGGAAAAATTCTCTCCTAAAAAACTATAAAGATAAGAAAACCCAAGGAATAATTATAATAAATCCCCCTTTAAAAATATAAAACTATAAGTAAACTATTCTAAAGGATTTTTTTAAATAGTGTCAACAAATGTGTGAAATATTTCAGTAGTTAAGATTTTCTGTAGTTCAATTTTTGGTATATTTTGAGATTTTATTATTTTGATCATTAATAATGATAAAAATATAAAACTTATAGTTTTATATTTTTAAAGGGGGATTTATTATAATTATTCCTTGGGTTCGCTTATCTTTATAGAAAATAATGACATTATTTTCTGATGAGTCTTTATATATATACATATATATATATATATATATATATATATATATATATATATATATATATATATATATATATATATATATATATATATATATATATATATATATATATATATATATATATATACATATATATATATATATATATATATATATATATATATATATATATATATATATATATATATATATATATATATATATATATATATATATATGTATATATTTATATCTATATTTATATATATATATATATATATATATATATATATATATATATATATATATATATATATATATATACATAACACTTAATTAAAAAATAAATAAACATAGCATTTTTATGACAGCGTTATTAAGTTTTCTCTGATGTATTTAGAATTCCCTTACTTTATCATCGTTTCCAGGTAGACGGGGACCATATAGTACAGCCCATAATTAAAAATCTTTTTAATCTTTATTTAATTGTTGTTATTATCAATTTATTGTAAGTCACAAATCACAGCAATAAACGCTTCCATAAGGGTCCATAAAGATATCTTAACATTAGATTCCCCCCCCCCCCCCCCTCCGCATTTTCTCTTGAATTTAAAGCCTTTTATGCAGATATGCAGGTAGGGCTTCCAATACCGGATCTAAAATTAAATACCGCTTTATCGGTATTAAAACCGGTTTACCAGTATTAGTACCGATATTTACAAATCAAAAAAACATTAAAACCGAAAGCAACAAATAAACGGTTAAGTCGGTTAATTGCGTAAGTTAAGTTAAAATAATACAGTCCAGTAAACGGTTAATTGCGTAAGTTAAAATAATACGTAAAACTAATTCTTTTTTTTTTTTTTTTTTTTTTAAATATAAAAAAAAAAAGTTATTTTTTACTGAAATAGGCCCGCAAAAAACATAAATTTTTTAAGTATTTTTGCGGTTATTTTTGCAAGTATTTTAATTAAGCTATTCATTTAAAGATGATCGAATTTTAACACATACCAGTGGGAAAAAAGACGTCGAAAGACGCCTTTAAAAGTCTTATATACGATGTCTTTAAGACGTCTTTTTTTAATCGATTATGCAAATCTAAAAGACATCTTTTTTCGACATCGAAAAGACGTCTTTTTTATCTTAATCTTGTCATGAAAAGACATAAAGAATGCGTCTTTAAGGACGCCGTTTTTTGGTCGAATATGCAAATCTAAAAGATCTTTTTTTGACATCGAAAAGACGTCTTTTTTTATCTTATTCTTGTCATGAAAAGACATAAAAAATGCCTTTTTAAGACGCGTCGAATATCGTTGGGGATAGTGCAAAACCGCGTAACTAACATTTTATAATACAGCGTATCTAAAGTACATTTTTTTTACTGGAAAAGTTTAAAACTTTATTTATTTTTTATTTTAACTGATTTTGGGTTCATTTTAGTAAAAAGAGTATCATTCATGTTTTTTGTAATCTCAACAATAAATATTTGATGTTAAAATTAATAATATCCAAATATAGTAGCCAATGCTAGTTACGCGGATTTGCACTATCCCCGACGATATGCAAAACATGATATGCAAAACACGATATGCATAAACATCTTTTTTCGACATAGAAAATGCGTCTTTTTTAATCTTAATCTTGTCATGAAAAGGCATAAAAAATGCGTCTTTAAGACGTCTTTGTTTATCAATTATGCACTTCTAAAAAAGTGTTTTTTCTCGGGGTCGGAACTACTTTTTTGTCATACTAATTAGTATACTATAGTATCCTATACACTATTCTATCTATTATAAAGTATTCCTACTTTTCTAATATGAAAAACTATCTTTTTCAAATAAAAATGATAATAGCTCTTCATACAAACTATGACAAAAAGCTTTTTCCGATGCCGAGAAAAAAAACTCTTTTAGATGTCAATATAAAAGAGGAAGCATTTTCTACATCTTTTATATGTTTAAATATAGGAGAATAATTTATAAATAAAACAATAGTATTGTTCAACAGAATATTTTTTCGTCTTTCTCTTTTTTTTATGTTTCTTGAACGATCTCTGTTTCTTGGCGTTGTTGAATAAAATTAACAATTTCACGTCGAGAAATCCTTTCATACAAGCAAGTTACGACTTCTAGCTGGTTACCACTTATAAAAAACAAGTGAACATAAAAAATAGTCTATTGCTTAAATGTAATACAAAAAAAGCAAACAAAACTTGATTAGCTGAGTGGAGCACATTATACTTACCGACTATTAATTCAAAAAGGGATGATCATTTTAATCCACTCATGTTTCCAGCGCAGTCCCTACTTTTTGAACCCACCAGGTTAGATTGGGACAGGAGTCAAACGGTAAACAGTCTAAAAATATATAAAAATGAGTGTGCTAAATAAATTTACAACCATCAAAATGACTGCACAACGATGTATTTTATTATGTAGTACTTAAATCAAGCTAAACATTTGCACCTCTCAGATTTGCTATGAAAGCCAAGTTATTGAAAATAGATATTGATACTTTTCTGTCTTCAATAACATGATTTTTTAATTGAATTTCGCTGAAATTAAGTGTTGTAGACTCATAACAATTTAAAAATGCGTTATTGACTAAAGAATATCAAAACAAAAAGATAATTCAGCTAATACATCTTAAGAGTTGTTATTCATTTAAACTAGAAAAAAGTATTAATCAAAGCTCTTTTTTAGCCTGAAACATAAGGATGCTTTACTTAACAACATAAAATCATAAAAACTGACAATATCATTAGCAACACAGATGAAATACACATAAACAAAAATGAAGCTGCAGTAATGTTTAGATATAAGAAAGTGTACCTTTCCAGTATCATTTTCACTTGGTTTTTTGTATCCAAACCAAAAATTTTGCGAACAGTTCTAAAGATTAATCTGTTGTTATTATGTGTATTTTTATAATTGCTATTTTTATAATTGACAGACAACAGTTAATAAGGAAATAACATATTTAACTTAAAAGTTAAAGAGCCAATCTTTTGTATAAACAATTTCATCATTAAACTAAATAAAAACAACAAAATTATTCATATCATTTAAAAATATATAAAAAAAAATTGCATGTCTACTGAATGATTTTTTTTTTCTATCGTTCGTTTTACTGGCACTTTAACAAGTAAATATAGAGAGAAATTGTTTACAGGTTTTTTTTTTCGTCTGAAAATAAATATTTTAATTTAATATGTAATAAACAACGTTCTTCAAGCACAATACATTAAAAAATTAGTCTAAAAATAAATGGTAAAATTTTTTAAAACGACTAACTTAATTGAGACTATATCATATCGATACTATCTTACTGGCAGCACGCCATCCACTTTTGCTTCTTCCGAATTACATATCTTCGCTAAACAGCTGCAATTGTATATTTATTTCAATATATATATATATATATATATATATATATTATATATATATATATATATATATATATATATATATATATATATATATATATATATATATATATATATATATATATATATATATATATATATATATATATATATATATATATATATATATATATATATATATATATATATATATATATATATATATATATATATATATATATATATATATATATATATATATATATATATATATAGGTACCCTCGTACGCGTCCGTTTTTTTATTTTGACATCGCTTTTATAAAGTTTCTAGATTTCCGTGTTTTTCCAAACAACGCTATATGCATAAAGGAAAGAGTGTTTAAAAGCTAGCTAAAAAATAAACTGTCAATTTTTATTATATTTTTTTATTTTTTAAAAAATTGCGATATTTTCACTGTTAACGAATCCTGCCAAAATAGGTAATTTTCATATAAAGAATTTAATATACCAATTTAAATGCTCATAAATGATTTTGACATGCTCAAATAAATTCTTCATAGATCTTTCATTTGATATATAATAACCGATACTTCAAAATCTCATTCATGTTTCAAAAAGATGCATACAGTTGCTACCGCCATATAATTTATTGTTTATAGCGCCATTTTTTAAATTATTGTCATTGTTGCTTTTTACTTTTCTTTACTTTAGATGGACCACAAGACTGCAAACGATATTTGCGTTTTAATTAATTCATATAAATGCCAATCGAAGCCTTTGTTAAATGGTGACATTTACAAAATTTTTTCTGAAAATAATTTCAAATTATCAAAAACCTGTCTGAAATTAAAAACCCAAACATTGGACCTCAAAATGCATCTGATTTTAAAATATTCTCTAACAATATAAGATACTTGCATGAAAAGATAAAAATCAAAAAAAAAAAAACCCTACCCAGTCATGGGCTGCTATTGTTAATTTTTTGCAGCAACCACTTAAATATGAAAGAAAAAGAGATAGTTCTAATACAAATATTCACTTAAACGTTGCAAGTGATTTAAATATTGCTTCAGACACAATGCAGAGAATAAAGTGTGGTTCATGCAAAATAAAAAAAGATGAAATATGTAGTTTACATGAAAAAAACAGAATACTGCAGCAGAGAGTTTGTTTTTTGAAAAAATCAATGACCCGTAACAAGCTTACAAACAAAAAATTTAAAAGACAGTGTTTTTCACTAAATTTGTGGAAATTGAAATATTCAGAAGAAGAAAAAAAAAATCAGCAGAATAAGTTACATTCTCTAGATTTCATTAATGAATTGAGAATTCTTAAAATTAGTAGAATGAAGTTGCAACAAAATGTTAAAAAGATAGAAAGGAAACACAAAATTGCTATCAAAGAATTACAGGGACAGATAAAAATCAAAGAGCAAGAAAATAAATAACTTGTTGAACAAAATCATTATTTAATTAGTATTGTTTTAGAAAAAAAAAAGATAATAGGTTACTTATAGAAACCAAAAAATTAAAAACATATGACCTACCCATAAGAAAATGTTTTCAAACTACTATTATTAACAATGTGCCTGTGGAAAGTGTCTCATTTTTGTTAGAAAAAATTTCTGAACTGTTACACAACACAGAACTGCAAGAAACACCTCACTCATCCACAGTAAATCGAATGGCATATGAGCCAGGTGTTTTAGCATTGGTTCAGGCTGGTGAGGCACTTTTTTATTATGAATGTGCAACAGTAGTGTTTGATGCAACCACCGTTTTAGACAAACATGTAAATGAGTTTCTTATCAGTACCTATCCTCCGCAGAGATGTTATTCCTTATCAACCGCTAAACTTGCTGGAGGTAAAGGATTTGACTGTGCCACTCATATTGTCAGTGTAATAAAAGAACTTGCCAAAACATGCAGAGTTTAAAAATATGCCAACAGGAGAAGTTTTAGATGTATTCACTCAAAAAATCAAAAGTTGTCTGTCAGACAGAGCACCTGTTAATAGTTGTGTGAAAAACATGCTTCAGGAGGAGATGGACATTCAATTAATGCAACTGTACTGCAATTTTCATTCATTGGAAACTATTGCCTTAAAAGCGTTATTAGCTTTTAAAACAATAGATAATGAGTTGAAGATAAAACCGGCTAAAGGAACTGATGGGGTTGCAGTAACAGTCCTCAAAAATATTTCTAAGTTAAGGTAATCTTTCATGTGTATATCTTTCATTATTTAATTTTTTTTTTAGTTTTATTTTCTTGTGAGCAATTACTTCTTTATTATTTCCAAGTTTTGAAAATTTGAAATTTTAATTTTTTTGCCCTTTAAAAATCAGGTATAGTTTTAAAGGCGATCCTACAGCATTCAAAAGCTATCTTAAAAAAAAACAATGTTGCTCCAGGGCTACTCCTTAGATATGTTGGTATTAGATTTCATGTTTTGTTCCATATGGCAGGGATTGTTGTTACATACGAAAGACTTATAAAAACCTTTCTTGAAAAGCATTTTTTTTTTAGATGAATATTTGGTTTAATAGAATTCCATGAATGACCATTTTCTCGTTATTCTAGAAACACCAAAAATAAAATTTGCCAGCTCTTACTTCAAGATATGAGTAATGATATAACGCTTGTGCAACTGCAAGGGTTGGGCCTGATAGGAAAATTAATAACTGGGCCATGGATGAGTCTGGTTTATAAAAATGCAACAGGAAAGAGTAATCTTGAGTTTGTAAGTTTTTATGGTTTTTTAATAAACAAATAAAGTAGTTTAAAAAATGTTCAAAAATTATTTTTTTATTAGGGTGACATTTTCCAGAAAGCAATAAGGAAATTAGCTTACTTCAAAAGTAATCCAGAATCAATTCTTTATACAGATGTGGATATTTTTAGTCAAGTATTAAATATTAAAAAAGATAAGGTACACCAATCCCTTCGTGTAATAAAAAATAAAAATATTTTGGTAAAGATTTTATCAGCTTTGATAAAATACACAGAGACAGTTCTCAAAAGACAGATAGCCAGGTATTTGACTGACAATCTCTCAAATCCATCTAAAGAAATGATAAAAACCACACTATCTACTCCACCTCATACAATGGAGGCTGAAAGGATCTTTGGCATGCTTGATTTTTTTTTGCGTCGTGCTCCTAATGCTACTTTTGGTTTTCTGGATTCAAAAATAAAAGCCAGGGTAAACAAAACATTAACATGGCTTGATAAGAAAACATTGCCAGAACAAGAAGATCTTATTCAATTTGTAATTCGCAGAGGAGCTTTAACGTGTCAAGCCTCTAAAAATTTTAATAATCTTTTGTATGAAGAACTAAGAAAAAGATAGGCCAAAGCTAATTTAAAAAAAGAACGTCTGGAAAGAAAGCAACTAGAGAAGGGTATTGAAAGAGCAATAGCTGAAAATGCCAAAACCACAAATCCTCTTTTTGTTAATATTGATGAAAAAAAAAACAAATTTTAGGAGTAGTTTTGAAAAATGGAAACTTGATTGGGCAGCTCTTGAGCCATAAATGGGAGCTAGATGATGGTAATATACATTTATTTTTTGGTAGAATTGTTGATCAAAAGGTAGCAACAAAAAAAAATCTATTACATACACAATAGGATATTGGAAAGTCAATGAAGATAAAGCTGAAGATATTGACATAAGCCAGGAAGGAGTTATAGCAGATCTTATACTTAAAGACCTGGAGTTCATTTAAAAAATACTATAATATATTAGGCATTATTATCTTTTATTTTGTTTATGTTGATTATTTTGTATACATTTTTATTTTTTCCTTTTAATTTTTAAAAATTTTTATATTAACCAAGAGCAGACACAGGGTTATTTTACATTTCAGATTCTGTACTTGGCATTGTGAAAACTCTAAGTATAAGTATGTTCAATCATATGTCAAATAAGAATGATTTGCTAAAATATTGTGGTAATTAAAACTTAGGAACAAAACTATCTAAAAAAGATAGAACCCCCTGTCTCAAATGTTAATTTAATGAGTTAATAAGTTTTTAAGTTTATTATCCAAAACTAAATTTAAATTCACATTTTTTAATGCTCAAAGGTTATGACCATGTGAAATAACTTAAAAAAATAACTTTAAAAATATCAAGAATTATTGGGTCTGTTGATGGATTTAAATGTAGTATAAAGTAATAAGTTAAAGCATTTTAATAACTTAGTCCCCTCACATTTTTATGTGAGGGTACAAACTTTTTGGGGTATTTTTATTCCCAGGCTCCAATCACTTCAATTTTTTATACAATTTTATTTCACATTCTCATTATATTTAAGCATGAACAAACTTAAATTTAGATTAATTATGGTAATTTTTTTAATAAAATGACTTAAATCAAATTTGACCCACTTTTAAAATGGGCTTAAACCCCTTTCCTCCTTTTTTTTTATTTTATTAAATATAAGTGGAATATAATAAACAGTTTTTATCATATATGTGACGGTAAATTGTTAATACTTTATGAACTATGTTATAAAGTCCACTTTTTGAAGTCATTTTCTTGTGTATATTTGTTAAGATGTCCACTGTATTTTCTCTACCTTCAAAATTGAATATCTTTTT